ATGTTTATTCATTAGAAGTGAATATAATATGCAACCCTCTTGTTGTATATATTTTTTACCCCTTCACTAATTAATCAGATAAAGTATTCACAATTATTGAAATACTGAAAATATTGTATGAACGATGTACATCAGAGAACCGTGCAATGTGAAGAAAATATATCGTTCAAGTTGCATTAAAAATGTATAAACATCCTCTGCAATTAACTAACAAGTAAAAGGACAAAGAATATACATCAATCTTAAGAATCCTGAAATGTGAAGAAAATATATCTAAGGGTTGCATTAAAAATCTGTAAACGTCCGCTGCAACTAACAAGCAAAAGAACAAAAAATTAATATACATCAATCTTGAGAACCCCGAAATGTGAAGAAAATAAATCTAAGGGTTGCATTAAAAATCTATAAACGTCCTCTGCAACTAACAAAGTAAAGAACAAAAAATAAATATACATCAATCTTGAGAATCCCGAAATGTGCAGAAAAAATATCTAAGGGTTGCATTAAAAATCTATAAACGTCCTCTGCAACTAACAAGCAAAAGAACAAAAAATTAATATACATCAATCTTGAGAACCCCGAAATGTGAAGAAAATAAATCTAAGGGTTGCATTAAAAATCTATAAACGTCCTCTGCAACTAACAAAGTAAAGAACAAAAAATAAATATACATCAATCTTGAGAATCCCGAAATGTGCAGAAAAAATATCTAAGGGTTGCATTAAAAATCTATAAACGTCCTCTGCAACTAACAAGCAAAAGAACAAATTAAAATACATCAATCTTGATAACCCCAAAATATAGCGAAAATATATCACCATTGCGTTAAAAATCTATAACCGTAGCAATTAACAAGTAAAAGAAAGAAAATATCGAAGAGTTAAAGAATCTGTGAAAAGAGCAAAGAAAAGATTTTGCAGGTCGCCATCGCGTGAAGCGTTCGCAGCATCCGGGAGGAGGAGCAGAGGGTAGCGTAAGGGTGGCATGGTTTCATAAGTTATCGATTGAAGGGAAACTGGTGGGAAGAGTGTGAGTTACCATGGCTACCGAACCTGCGCCCTGCGACTTGGACGTTTACCTTAATGCCCGGGAATTACGGGACGTGATTTTCACCCCTGTTTTCTCTCCCTCTTTCTCCCTTTCTCCTTGCCGGAGAACGCTTTAGGCGATAATGTAATTTTATCTACACCCCCTCCGGAGCTCTTTCCAGAGACTCACCCCTTTTCCTTCCACCGCCCTCCGACGATCCAGAAGACAACGTTTTCTTCGGCAAACAACGTTAGTTCATTGGCCAGCAGCGAGGAATTAATTGGATTCCCGGGAAATTAATTGCGGCAAAAGCCACCCTCGGCCGGAAATTAGAGCCGCTAACGTCGCGCAGTTTTCACCCTTAAACGGGAGTGCCGGTGAATAAAAATGGAAAAATTGCTTTGCTTGTGGGCTCAGTTTGATCTGGAGACGAAAATTCGGGTTATTATTAACGTGCTCGTTTTTGATGTTCGACATGAACAAATGGGGTGAGATATACTCTTTGCAGATTTCTAAAACTCCGCAAAAAATGTCATCTTTATTAACAAACATTAATTATGTAGCAGATATATTATTCACTGTTTGAGAAGGGTTTTGTGCAAACATCATTGATTTTATTTTTTGCTGCATTTATTAGAGGTTGATTTTCTTCTTCACTGTTTAAGAAGGGTTTTGTACAAACATCATTGGTTTTATTTTTTGTTACATTTATTAAAGGTTGATTTTTTTAAAGGTTCATTGTTTAAGAAGGATTCATCATTGAGATTATTATTTGATGTATTTATTAGAAGTTGATTGGCAAAATTATTTAAAAGATTCTTCTTTAAAAATTGACAAAAGTGCATTGAATTTAAAATGTTCTAAGATTATGAGAATTTTTGTAGCGTCAGGCGCAATTCGCTGGTAGCTACGTCAGTGGAGAAATAACGAGCCATCCCCTCGGGGGTTGTGCCAACGTAAGCCCGCATTAGCTAACTGCGCCCTGATTCGTCGTCGGATCGATCCGAAAAACGAGGAAACTTAACGCGAATTACGTCACCGACGAAACAGTTAATTTCAGATAAAATGAATCGTCATCGATTTAATCAGCTTCGCCAGTAATTTTTAATGAATATTCATTCGAAACACTTGTACGCGCGTAAATGAACATTTTGCATGACGCTGTCTGTCTGTGATTTATGAATTGCGGAATTTTAATTATTTCGAATTTTCATTTTATAGTTTGTCTTTTCGTTCGATGTAATTGGACACGTTCTTGCAATATTAAGGGAATACATTATCCAAAAATTGTGTTAATTTCGAGGAAGCCTCGAGGAGAAGCTTAAATTACGACCATTTATATTCTCCGGAGGAATCTACCCACCCTCTACTAGAAAAGGCGGGGTTTCGATTTCTCGAGAGGGAGAGTGATACACCGTTTCCATGGAGTTATGTAAATCGCTGGATTACTCGGCCCTGCAAATTAGAAAGCGGGCTTGGGAGGGTAGCGATGGCTTTAAATGAAATCTGAAATGTTTCTATATTGTCAAGTTTTCGAATTGCTATATTCTTCGATCACTTTAAACTGAGATCCTGTTTGTAGCTCTAGTGATCCCCTAATTCCTTAATTTTCGAAAATGTGGAATAAATTTTTGACTTCTCACGTTTCTGAATTTTTCAACTTCCGAAATTCTCAAATTCACAAACTCCTAAATATCCAGAGTTATAAATGCAAGGATCTAAATTTCCAAACTCTTAAATCTTCAAACTTTCTAACTTTCAAACTCTCAAATCCCCAAACTCTCAAATTCCCAAACTCTCAAATCCCCAAACTCTCAAATTCTCAAACTTTCTAACTCCCAAACTCTCAACTCTCCAAGCTTTCAAATCTCCAAACTCTCAAATTCCCAAATTCTCAACCCCCCAACCCCCCAATTCCCCAAACTCTCAAACTTCCAACCCCTCAATTCCCCAAACTCTCAAATTCCCAAACTCTCAACCCCCCAATTCCTCAATTCCCCAAATTCTCAAATTCCCAAACTCTCAAACCCCCAACCCCTCAAATCCCCAAATTCTCAAACCCCCAACCCCTCAAATCCCCAAATTCTCAAACTCCCAACCCCTGGAGAGTGATACACCGTTTCCATGGAGTTATGTAAATCGCTGGATTACTCGGCCCTGCAAATTAGAAAGCGGGCTTGGGAGGGTAGCGATGGCTTTAAATGAAATCTGAAATGTTTCTATATTGTCAAGTTTTCGAATTGCTATATTCTTCGATCACTTTAAACTGAGATCCTGTTTGTAGCTCTAGTGATCCCCTAATTCCTTAATTTTCGAAAATGTGGAATAAATTTTTGACTTCTCACGTTTCTGAATTTTTCAACTTCCGAAATTCTCAAATTCACAAACTCCTAAATATCCAGAGTTATAAATGCAAGGATCTAAATTTCCAAACTCTTAAATCTTCAAACTTTCTAACTTTCAAACTCTCAAATCCCCAAACTCTCAAATTCCCAAACTCTCAAATCCCCAAACTCTCAAATTCTCAAACTTTCTAACTCCCAAACTCTCAACTCTCCAAGCTTTCAAATCTCCAAACTCTCAAATTCCCAAATTCTCAACCCCCCAACCCCCCAATTCCCCAAACTCTCAAACTTCCAACCCCTCAATTCCCCAAACTCTTAACTCCCCAAACTCTCAACCCCCCAATCCCTCAATTCCCCAAACTCTCAAATTCCCAAACTCTCAACGTCCCAACCCCTCAATTCTCCAAATTCTCAAACTCCCAAACTCCCAAACTCCCAACCCCTCAAACCCCCAAATTCTCAACCTCCCACCCCTCCTCCCCCAACCCCCAAATTTCCAACTCCTAAATATCCCAAATTCCCAAATTTCGAAAACCTCTCGGTGCCCATCGCTGATCCGGAGTAGCAACTTTGTCAAGGGGTGGAAGATATGGGGTGGCTATAAGGAGGCACCATCCCCGACATAACGAGAAGCGTGAAACAGGCGCAGAATCGTCCCACGGGCCGCGTTACACGCATTAGCTAAACGGCAGCTCTGATTGGCTCCCTTCTACGAGGGCTGCTTTTATCAACCCCCTTTCTGTTAAGGTCAAACCATTGGGGTGGAACCGGAGCCAAGGATCAGAAACTATCTCTTTATCTTCGGCTGATTTTTCTGCTGCTTCCTGAACGATTTCAAAGAGGGTGAATTCTCTCTACTGAGAATAGAAACATCGTTTCTTCTATTCGGAATTAAGGGATGATTTTGTATTAACGTGAAGGAGCTATAATCTGTTCTTTGTACACAATATTTGTTAAAGAATTTCTTGTTTTTTAGAATCTATTCTACACTCTGAAGGTTTTAATGTATAATCTTTTTTTGGATTTTTCTGATTTGATGTTCCAAATAATTCTTGCGATAAGAAATGAAATAAAATGAATACAGTTGATGTGCTTGATCAATATCTCGATTGAAGATCGATATAATTACTGTGTACAAAATGCATCGCCCAATTTCACGGTGTACATAGATCGCTCATAGGTTATAGATATAAGTTTTTCACCAGTAAAAAACCAGATGCCGCCAAGAAGAAGAGGACCATTTTTCCCTTGGAATGTACCACCGAGCGAAGCCGTCACTGTCGACGAGATACTAATCTTTCTAGGCTAGCATCTTATCAAACAAACTTTCACTGTTAACAACATAATCTTTCCATTATTTACACGTCACAGAGGAAGAGTCTAAACGATTTTTTTATCAAATATGTATAACGAAGAGACAATTAATATCTCTGCACACAGAATATTTAAACATCCCTTAATAATAATTGTTATTTCACAGGCGAATTTGGAACGTATCAGAAATACCTGTTCGGCGTATTAACAATCTTCTGCGTGTTTCTATCGTTCATCTACCTCACGCAAATATTCATCACGATTCTGCCCACGGAGTACTGGTGCAAACTTCCTCAAGCCGAGGGTATATCCATGGACAAATTACAACAGATTCTGATACCCAGCTCGGAGCTTGTACCCTACGAGGGCCATCAGCTACCTTACTCCAGGTGCTGGATATACGATTTACCGGTGGAGACCGCGAAGAAGGCGAATCGTTCCGATACCAGTTGGCCTATGAAGAAGTGCAGCGACTGGGAGTACAAACTCTCTGCGAATGACGTGCCTTATATGTCCTATGCGTCTGAACAGAATTGGGTAAATTTCGATTACAATTACTTTTGAACTTCTTGATTGATTCAGTAGTATATGAGCATAATAATAAAGTAGTAGAACTGTAGAACAGTAAAAAAAAATTTAAAGTTTCGTTGCGACTTTGGAGGTTTGCGAACAGGCAAAGTAACGTTTGCCCAAAGTATACTGCAAGTAGAGTAGTGAAATAATGAAGTAGTAGAATAGTAAAAAAAAGTGAAACCTTGTGACTTTCGAGGCAAAGTTTGCCCAAAGTATACTGCAAGTAGAGTAGTGAAATAATGAAGTAGTAGAATAGTAAAGAAAAGTGAAACCTTGTGACTTTCGAGGTTTGCGAACAGACAAAGTTTACCCAAAGCATACCACAAGTAAAGTAGTGAAATAATGAAGTAGTAGAATAGTAAAAGAAAGTGAAACCTTGTGACTTTCAAGGTTTGCGAACATTCAAAGTTTACCCAAAGTATACCACAAGTTTAATACTGAAATAATGAAGTAAAATAGTAAAAAAAAGTGAAATCTTGTGACTTTCGAGGTTTTAACACTCAAAGTTTGCTCAAAGTATACCACAAGTATAATAGTGAAATAATGAAGTAGAATAATAAAAAAAAAATGAAACATTATGATTTTGAAGGTTTGCGAACAGGCGTACAAAGTAACGTTCGCCCAAAGTATCTTCTTCGTGGGTTCGATCTTCGGAGGCCTGATCCTCGGATGGTTGGCCGACAAGTATGGTCGAGTGCCGGTGTTAGTGATCTCGAATTTGATAGCCTTGATCGGCAGCATCAGCACGATATTCACGAAGAAATTCTGGCAATTCTGCGCGTGCAGATTTATCGTAGGTATGGCGTACGACAACATATTCGTGATCGCTTATATACTCGTTCTGGAGTACGTCGGACCGAAATGGCGCACGTTCGCAGCTAACATGTCCTACGGGATATTTTTTACCCTCGGGGCGATAAGCGTACCTTGGATCGCCTATGAGATCGCCAATTGGAGATTGTTCGCTATAGTGACGGCTGCTCCGTTCGCTATCGTGATCATTGCACCCTTCACTATTCCCGAAAGCATCAGGTGTGTATATTTCATTAACACTTTATTGTATGTTTGTTAACCCTTTGCACTATTTTGACGCACGCACATAATCAATTATTGTGTGCGCACGTCGGCCATAATCAATTTTACTCGAACTTTTAATACGCTTCAATTTGGAGTTCAATTATAATTTACATAGTCAGCGACTGCATAATAATATATTGATATAATATTTCAAATTTGTTTGTCTGTTTTAATATTGTAGCTGTAATTAGTTCTGACTGACGTGCCTGACAAAATAAGTCATAGTGCAAGGGGTTAATTGTGTTGCACGAGTTTGAAGATTTCAAATTATCAAATAGTTGTTCTTCGTTAGTAAAGGTGGTTGATCAGCGTGGGGCAAATTAAAAAGGCGACGAAAATCATCCGCAGAATAGAGAAGGTAAACAAGGTAAAAATACCCGAAGACGTCTACGAGGAGTTCATCGACGACTGCACCAAAACCGCGGAAGCTGCGTCCACCGAAGTCCACACGTTGATGGATTTGTTCAAGACTAGACGACTGAGGTACCACAACAGGCTCACAAACCCCAACCTTCCGAGTAAATAATAACCAGTAAATAATGTCCTAAATCACAGGAGGTTCATGATACTGCTGCTGCTCTCCTGGGGTATCGTTCAGATGTCCTACGACGGTCACATCCGTAGTCTAACGACTCTAGGCGTAGACGTGTTCACAACCTTCACCATCGCCTCGGCCACCGAGTTCCCGGCCGAGATTCTGATCACCTACACCCTGGACATCCTAGGACGAAGGTGGATGCTGTTCGGCTCGGTGTTCCTCTCGGGTCTGTTCAGCCTAATGGCGGCCACCGTCTCCATAGGCCTCACGTTCGCCACCCTGGCTATATGTGCTCGATTCTTCATCAACATCGCCTGGAACATCGAGCTGCAATACGCCGCGGAGTTGCTGCCGACAGTGGTCCGAGGCGAAGGAATTGCTTTCATACACGTGATGGGGTACGTCACCTCCATTCTGGGTCCTGTTATCGCCTTCTCCAGCAGGATAATGTACAATTTGCCGATGATCATTCTGGGAGTCTCTTGCATTTTCGCCGCGGCGTTGTGTCTGTTCCTACCGGAAACGCTGATGGAGCAGCTGCCGCAGACTATTATGGTAAAGATCTCGTCTAGTAGATGAGTATATGAGTATATGAGTAGATGAGTGTATGTTCACAGTGATTAATCATAATACTGTTTCTTGCAGGATGGCGAATTTTTCGGCATCGACCAATCGTTCTGGGACACACCGTTCACGAAGAAGAAACATTTGGAACCCGTAGGACATCACATGCACGCGAAACGTCCGTTCTTCCGACCTGAACCCATGCGCAGCAGCATGGTTTCCGGTTACTTGGGCAACAGAAAGCGACTCGCCGCTGTAAAAGCACGGGCGAGCCAGATACACCTTCCGTCGGGTCAAGGCAAACAGAATAAGAACGAAGGAAAGTAAGAGAGGAAAAGGGACAAAAACTCAGAAGAAATTAACTAAATATATTGATTACTTGTTACTGTAATTTTATTCCTGATAGACCCTCACAGTCAGTTAAACTAGAAACTTCTGTATAAACTTATTAGCTTGAATAAATAAAATTAGTTAAATAATTCTATTAAAGTTAGATAATCGTAGGCAATCGTAGATAGTCGTTCAGACAATTGTACTTGAGGGGAATTTTGTGGAGGATGCTGTTACATCGCTACTCGTTATATGGCCATATACCGATCAGTAAAATATGTAGATGTGTAATCGACAGTTAACAATAAGTGTAACGAAAAATATAAAAGTCAAGAACTATCCAGTTACCGATTAGTTCAGCCATATTTAGCTGGACAGGTTCAAAGGACCGTTTAGTTAATTGCCGAAATTAGCGACAACAGAGACTCGACATGTGGCCCTGTTTAACGGTCACGCATTCCCGGTGCTCGGATTTCGTTTCCCTTTCTCTGAAAACACATAAATTCGACCGGCACCGGCTTTTCTTCTTTCAGAACACGTCGTCTCGCCGTGGGTGGTTGACTAAGAAAAGAACGCGAAGAAACCGGGAACACGCTCTCGTTACATTGCAGATTTCAGGAACTCGAGTTCCAGCGATTTATCTTTGCTCATTTTTGGACTTTCGAATGACTGCCTATGAATCACTACCCTCCGCAATCTTTACGTCTCTCAGTTCACGTCCTTTAATTTATTTAGTTTGTGGAACTTCAATTTTTATGACAGAGAAATGAAGTGTACAGCGATTGTTTTTTTAGTCGAAAGAAATCTGAGAATGGCTCGTCACTCGACACGACTAATGGACCCATAATGACCGTGGTGCCAGGAACACCCATAGTCGTCATCCACCCGGAACATGGGGAACCTTCAAGACATTTCGTGGGTCAATCGGGACCCATGAAACACTGTATTGTGTAATACAATAACGTTTCGACCACGGTTAATCTCAAAGTGTACTTGTCAGTTGAGAAACACGTAACCTAATTAGTCGGTAAAAGACTTTTGTACGTCCCTCATAATATTCAAGCTTGTAAAATTTCGCCATGATGGCGATTTAGAAGTTATCTGGCACTCTGTCAGCTCGTGAATGTGGCGCAGAAATTTTTGGCAGGGCTAAGTTTTTCGCGAGCGTTCCAGAATCAATAATCTCGATATCAGCGGTATTCTATTTGACGGAGGCTAGTCGTAGAAAGAGACGTCGTAAGATGGCCGGTTTCCGTATTTCTCGGAGCAACGGCCCCGCAGTTGACATCGGTAACACAGGGAGCTCGTAAACGCGAGATTGCCTGGCCGTTTTACGAGCTTTCTATCGCGTTTTCGGGATTATTTGAGAAAATGGAATCCTTTGTGAGACGGTGTTTCTCCGCGGCGCCAAAGATCCCCGTGCACGGAGCCAGATAAAATTCAACCGCCACGGGGGTGAGAAAGTTCCGGAGGGTGGAGCAGGACACGAGAGAAATGCAAACCAGCTGGAAAATCGTAAAAGGCGAAAATGTAACAAACGTAATCGAGCCGCTACGGTGGGCGTTGCAGCTGTGGAAAGAAAGCGAGAAAGGGTGGCGAAAAAAAGGACCCGAGGAAAACGAGATAGCGACGCATACGTCCGACATTTTATTACGCTCGCGTCATCGAAGAAAGTCTCGTAAAAGAGCCGCTGCCGTAAAACCTCGCTCACATTTCTCTCCGACGATTTGTCCTTATCGTCCTTCTCCCTTTCTGCCCTTAATGAGACCGACGGAAATCCAACTACAAAGCACCGGGTCTTTTTTCTCTTCTTACATTGAAACTGTTTTCGGAAATTATGGTTTGGGTGAGAGGGAAAATGGCTGAGGTTTATGGGCATCGATTTTTCTGGCCATTTTGTCATGGTTGATTATTGAAGCTGAAAGTTGAAATTTTGTAACTTCAAGATTTAATAATTTCAGAAATATGAAACTTTAATTGTGTTCAACTATGATTTTGAATTAACCTTCTGCACTTCTTCATTTTTATTGCCCATATGAAGTCAATCTGTTTATCTGAATTATTTATAAGATTCAAGAGAAATATGATGTTGAGGACGTAGGTCATTTATGTTTAAATTAAAACTAAAATAGAAGAAGCACTAAATTAGGGATGATACCTAAACTACCTAACACAATGATTCCTGACTTGAAAGTCAAGATGCATTTTCACAAAAGACCCAAGGGAAACATGATGTCGAGGACGTAGGCCATTTATGTTTAAATTAAAACTAAAATAGAGAAAGGACTAAATTAGGGATGATACCTAAACTACCTAACATAATAATTCCCAACTTGAAAGTCAAGATGTATTTTTACAAAAGACCCAAGAGAAACATGATGTCGAGGACGTAGACCATTTATGTTCAAATTAAAACTAAAATAGAGAAAGGACTAAATTAGGGATGATACCTAAACTACCTAACATAATAATTCCCAACTTGAAAGTTAAGATGCATTTTCACAAAAGACCCAACAGAAACATGATGTCGAGGACGTAGGCCATTTATGTTTAACTTGAAACTAAAGTAGAAGAAGCACTAAATTAGGGATGATACCTAAACTACTTAACATAATAATTCCCAACTTGAAAGTCAAGATGCATTTTCACAAAAAACCCAAGGGAAACATGATATCGAGGACGTAGACAATTTATGTTTAAATTAAAACTAAAATAGAGAAAGGACTAAATTAGTGATGATACCTAAACTACCCAACACAATGATTCCCAACTTGAAAGTCAAGATGCATTTTTGCAAAAGACCCAAGAGAAACATGATGTCGAGGACGTAGACAATTTATATTTAACTTGAAACTAAAATAGAAAAAAAACTAAATTAGTGTTGATACCTAAACGACCTAATACAGCGATTCTTAACTTGAAAATGAAGATGTATTTTTACAAAAATGATTTGACATCTCCTGTGAGAAATTGAGGCTCCAAAATTTGTCTTGCTTCCTCGAAGAGCCTCGAAGAGCCTCGACTGCAGTATTTCTCCGTCTGAAAACTCAGGAACGATCGTCTGAGCAAACAAAGCATCGAAGAAAAAAAAAGAAGGCGTAAAGCGCGGTGCACGCGCCCGTCTTTCCGGGCAATTTGCCGCGATAAAACGGAGCGTTGACTTGGACGGTGTTGAAAGCTCGGAAGATCTCGGCGCGGGTCCGCTAGCGGCGCGGCAAACCGGCAATTTTCACCTTGCTCTGCTACCCGCTCGAACGATCCTCGCCGCGTGATTGCCCGGCCAACAACTACTGTTTGTTTAGCCTGGCCACTCCGCCCAACGAAACTGCCTCTCTTCAAGATTTTCGCAATTTTCACCGCGTTACCTCTTCTCCTTCCGTTCGATCCTCTTGCTTTTATTTCTTCTCCCCGATACTTCTTGGTCCTTTTGCGAGGTTGCTCTTGAAACTCGAAGATTACGAGAAAACGAGCCGCGAAATTATGGCCGAGGATTCACAAGAGTTTTACTGCCTGCGCCATGCTGGATACAGGAAACGCGAGGTTTTCCGGTATGATAGCAGAAAGAAAATGGCGGTTCGCGATGAGAAATTCGACGGCCGCTCGCTCCCGTGCTTCTCGGAATTAGGATGATTCGACGGAAGTCCATCTTCTTTTACGCCGTCAGTTTCGTTTATCGTAATTGAGAGCTGCCCTGCAAAATAGTGCGTACTTTTAAATAAAAACAGTGAAAGATTTTTTCTTAAGGAAGTTCTCAAAATTACCTCCTCTAAAGTTTTCATTCTTGTAAAAGATTTTTTCTTAAGGAAGTTTTCAAAATTACCTTCCCTAAAGTTTTCATCCTCGTCAAATCATAGAAGGTTTAAAGATCATTGTTTGGGTCGGTATGAATCATGATCTATTCTTAGAACAATCGATTAACGTTTTATCAACAAACGATTCAATTTCTGAGCATTATCCTCGGTGCCAGTTGGTGGGTCAATTTGAAAACGTCAGCCGGCATAAAAGCTCGAATTAAAAGTCGTCGAGGCGATAGCTGCCCGCTTCTAGAAGCAATTTATGCGAGCGCATAAAAGTCGACAATGGCCGTGTTCCCATTTCAAATCGACGCCCGTGTCCGGTTCCGCTTTACAGCAGGCTCGTAAACATTAATTTAAATAAGAAAAACCGATAACGTTGTTCATTTTTCGGATCGTAATGTGCCTTGATAGCTGTGACCGTGAACGGATAATGGCACTTGTTCTTTTCTTTTGTTTATTTGCAAATTTCAATTTGTGCGATGATGTGACGAATTAGAGTTTATTAAGGTTTAATTAGAATTTTTGGTTCTGTTGGGGTTTTCAAAGTTTTTAATATTTGGGTTAGAATTTTGGAATGGTAGAATGATGGTGGGGTGGGGAATTTAGTGTTTAAAATTTAATTTAGAATTTTAGAATTTAGGATTGATCAATTTTGAAGTTTGAGGGTGTTTAAAAATTAATTCAGAATTTTAGAATTTTGCAGCTGGTAAATTTAGTGCTTGAGAGCGTTTAAAATTTAATTCAGAATTTGAAAATCCTGTAGCTGGTAAATTTAGAGCTTGAGAGCGTTTAAAATTTAATTCAGAATTTTAGAATCCTGCAGTTGGTAAATTTAGAGCTTGAGAGCGTTTAAAATTTAATTCAGAATTTTAGAATCCTGTAATTGATAAATTTAGAGCTTGAGAGCGTTTAAAATTTAATTTAGAATTTGAGAATCCTGCAACTAGTAAATTTAGAGCTTGAGAGCGTTTAAAATTTAATTCAGAATTATAGAACCCTGTGAATTTAGAGTTTCAGAGCGTTCAAAATTTTAGAACCCTGTAATAAATTTAAAATTTGAGAGCTCTCCAAGAATTTACAATCGTAATAAATTTTCTAAAAGCGTTTAAAATTTGCTACATCGTTTTGGACCATGTATATACGTAATACCTTGTTTCCACCACGGTCGTACAAATATTGGACCGATTTAGATGAAAATTTCCATGTTCGCGGCGATAAATCTTGTTCCCAAGCTTAATCTTTTCACCCGAAGACTTTGTAACTGCGATAAATCCGCGTCGAATCGCGGATGTCCCCGCTAATTTTGTTGGCCGGCCAAATCTCGAAAACGTAGCTAACGATCGTTGTAAAACGGCCTCAATTACAGAGATACGCGAAAACCTCGTTAATTACGGCAATTACCTCGTTCGAAGAATTGCATCGTGTCACGGTTCGTACAGACTCGACCCGATGCATATATTTTCTTTCTACCGCAACCTGTTATCATCGTTGACACCGTTGTTGTTCATAAAAATCCTTATCGTTGCTCGTGTTTCTTTTTCGATTACGCTTTTTGCCGAAATTAAATTAACTTAATTAAATGTAATTACGATTATAAATTATCGCTGCTGGTTTATCAAATACCGATACGGACGTGTAACGATAAGGTTTCGTTGCGTAACATTCAATTATACTCTTTTTTAGCTAATTGCGAGATCATGAATTTTTGTCACGAAAGAATGAGGATCATAAATTAGACTTTTGTGCTTTCGAGACTTGTTCAATGTGCAAAGAAAAATGGGGCAAATGTAAGTTTGGATATTTTGAAAAATTTATTTGTACCTCAAGCTTCCATAATATTAAATTGTATTAAATTACATTATAGTAAATTGTCAGTAAATAAAAAATGTAAAAAGTCAAATGTAAGTTTGAACAGTTTTAAACAATTTATTTGTACCTCCTCAATCTTCCATAATATTAAATTGTATTAAATTATTTAATAGTAAATTGTCAGTGAACTAAAAATGTAGAAAGTCAAATGTAAGTTTGAACAGTTTTAAACAATTTATTTGTACCTCCTCAATCTTCCATAATATTAAATTGTATTAAATTATTTAATAATTTAAATTGTCAGTGAACTAAAAATGTAGAAAGTCAAATGTAAGTTTGAACAGTTTT